TGGCTGGGGAATTCTGGGAGTTGAAGTCCACACCTCTTAAAGTTCCCAAGGTTGACAAACACTAGTACAGAGGGTATAAGTTTCTTTCTATGAACTTTCCATGAGTGTTGCTTAAAAGTAAAAATATCCGTGAGTTGAGTTCAGCTCCTGGGGATTGTGGGTTTCTTAGAACTGGTTTACCGCTGTTTGTGACTTTTGTGTGTGCGGGGACTTCTCAGTGTAGCTAGCCTACATCCTCCACATCTCGAGTGGGCTCCCATCCAGGCCCCGCCCCTGCTCCAGAACATTGAAGAGTTGCTGCTTAGCCAGCCTCTTAGCGGATTGGCCTTTTTGTCATCCCCAGATGCAAATGGGTCGCCCGACCTCAAGCTTTGGGGAAAGGACCCCAACCACGTTTCGAAAAGGCTGGAGGCCTTGAAGAAGCAGCTTCACATCGAGCTGAAAGTGAAACAGGGAGCCGAGAACATGATCCAGGCGTATTCCAGCACAGCGAAGGTGAGCCGGGCAGTGTTTCTCGGTCGAGGCGGCACGAACCCGGTTCCCGTGGGGAGCCACGAAGTGCCAGGTCATACCTCTTCCCCTAAGGATGCCTCGCGGTCAGGTTCCCATTGTAGAATTCTAGAGTTGGAAGGAGACCTCAGAGGTCATCCAGTCCAGCCCCCTGCACACCGCAGGATTCACGGCCCCCTCCCTGCTAGAAGCCTCTCCAGCCTCTGTTTGAAAACCTTCAAGGATGGGGAAGAATCCCCTCCATGCAGGGACCCATTCCACTGACGGACAGCATTTCCTGTCCAGATGTTCTTCCTCGTGGCTCATCTGCATCTGCACCTTGAAGTTTCATGCCATGAGCTCTAGTCTTCCCCTCTGGAGCAAATGAGAACGAGTCCGAACCCTCTACAACGTGACAGCTCTTCTGATGAATATCTGAAGGGCTGTCATGTCGTAGAGGGTTTGGATTTATTCAGCTATCACGTCCCCCCCTTGACCGTCTCTTCTGCAAGCTTGTGATGGCATGTGGGAAAGACCTTGGGAGACGGGGCCCAGAGATGCTGCCAAGGGAACGGTCAGATAAGAGGGAGCCCAGCCCTCAGCTGCATAATGGGTAGAGAAAGAGGCTCAGGAGGGACCCTCCCTAGTCTCTCAGTCTGTAAAGGAGATGTATTACAACCATAAAATCATTGGGCTTTTGATTTAAAGTTAAGTATAACATTAAAAAGAAAACCACTGCAACTCACCTCAAAGTATTGGTTATATGATAATGGTTTCAATCTTAAGCTAATTACTTAATATTATAATCTCCATTGTATAGATAGATAGATAGATAGATAGATAGATAGATAGATAGATAGATAGATAGATAGATAGATAGATAG